AAAAATCCTGCAAACTTCAGTTACACAGTTATGTGCCATTTATAAAGGGAAATTAACCAGGCAATATGGGCTCCTAAGATACAAAATAACCAACAGTCTCACAAACGTGGAATTGAAATCAGCATCGACCAATCCTCTACAGCCCCGTTTTTCAACCTTGGCAACTTTTAGATATCTGGACTTCAATTCCCAGACTCCCTTAGGCTGCTGTGAGTTGACATCCATACAGGATTGAGAAACGCTGCTCCATGGGGTGCGGGAATCGCAATTATCCAATTTTTCTTCTACCAGACGATTCGACAGCCTTTGCTTGAACGCAATCAACCGGAGGCCCGGAAAAAAAATACGGAAATTTTACAGGGAAATCTGTCGAGTGGTTGGGGAGTCCTTCCTCAAGAACCCTTGAACCCGAACGTCGAATGAGCCGATTTCATTTAGAAAAATGAAATCCCCTCGCCTCCCCCAACTCTCCACACACAGAGCCGATAGCATCTTCAACACAAGGAGGCCCTTTCCAGAGCTGCTGCCGCTGTCTCCAAATTTGAGGAGTCCTACCGGTCCCCCAGGAATGGCGAGAAGCTTATTCCCCCCGTCCTGTCCCCCGCCTTTTGAATACTCACGGAAGCAGCAGAAGCTCTGGAACCAACAGCTTTTCTCCGCGAAGAAGACTCGTCGCCTTTCTTCTCCAGCAGAGCGCAGCCGAAGGAAACCACTGTCCTTTTCGACTTTCGTTTCTCGCGCGGCTATGCCTGCCCCCAGCCGAAATCTCGGCGAAAACAGCCAAACCCGCCGGGAAATCGAAAGTGAAATGTCATCCGGCGGGAAAGCGCAGCGCCCGCCTCCCGTCGCTCTCAGCGACCGTCGAAAGTCTCCCTACTGCGGTTGTCGGCGGCCGGGTCAGGAAGAGGTAGAAAAAGGGGCGTCAATGTTTCGCGCTCTTCGCGGGAATGAGGCGGGGAGACCTGCCAACAGAGCTGCTTGGCCACAAGGAAGGCTCTGCTTGGGAGACGACGGTGGTGGGTCCAACCCCGGATGCCTGAAGAGTGTACCAGTTTGGATAACATTCCTGTGAACGATCTGACTCCTACAGTAATCAGTGTTTCCCAAACTTGACAATTTTAAGGCATGAGGACTTCAACTCCCAGAATTCCACAGCCAGCAACGCTGGCTGTGGAATTCTGGGAGTTGAAGTCCACATGCCTTAAAATTGTCAAGTTTGGGAAACACTGCAGTAGATGGTATGAGAGCATAGGAGCCGGTGGGATCTGTGGTCCCAAGATAAGATAAAGAACGTGCAAGAGAAAAAGACATCTCTGCTTCCTAAGATTGGATGAAATTTAGCGAGATGAGTAACCCGAAAGACAACGTGGGCAACAGCGTTGGCCTCTGACCTGAATTTACAAAAACGAAGAAGAGAAAAAGACATTCTCTCCCAGGCTGAGGAGGAATTCCTTAAACAGCAGCTTTTCTTTTCTCTTCAAAGAAAAACAAGAAAGTCCAGTTGTCTCCTGAAAAAGCACCTTTGGAACAGCTCCGAGACAGTTGGCTTCTTGCTGGGAGAGATCCTGGAGAAGGTCAATGTCTGAAGTTAAACAAAGGCTAGAAGAATTCATTCACATATCTTGATCACAGAGGAAAACTGTTAATTCTTTCTGTCTTGAAAAAAACAATTTGATGGGAAATGCCCCCTTCCAGACCATCTCCCTTTCCCTCTTGAATCCAGTTGAAAACAGCCCTGAAACAGACGTACTTTCAGTTCTATTCTGACATCAGGACTCTAGAACAGCGGTTCTCAACCTGTGGGTCGGGACCCCATTTGGGGTCGAACGACCATTTCACGGGGGTCGCCAAACAAGGCTGTCCGCCATTTTTTCCCCTTTTCTTTGGCTATGCCCCTGGCACCCGGTGATGTATAAGTGATTGGGGGTCACGACAACATGGGGAACTGTATTATGGGGTCACGGCATTAGAAAGGTTGAGAACCACTGCTCTAGAACATGAGCATGGGGATATGTTTGTAGGTCTACTGGTCACAGAAAACAGCCCATCTGTGCTCATTGGTGAAAAAAGTAGCTGAATGCTTCATTTGTCCCCATCTCCACCCTTCCAGTCAGATGACAGCCATCCCATCTCACTAACAATATATAGGAGAATAAAGTACTTGTACCTGAAAGATCAGGTGAGGACAGAAAATATATATGGGTGCTAAGAGTTGGCATTGATTTAATGACACATAACCAGACAACACAAAGCTGTATATGGTCACTCTATTTATTTAACTTATATGCAGAGTACATCATGCAAAATGCCAGGCTAGATGAACCACAAGCCAGAATTAAGTTTTCTGGGAGAAATATTAACAGCCCCAGGTATGCAGACAATAGCACTCTAATGGCAGAAAGTGAGGAGGAACTAAAGAGCCTCTTGATGAGGATGAAAGAGGAAAGTGCAAAAGTTGGCTTGAAACTCAGCGTTAAAAAAAGGTAAGATCATGGCTTCTGGTCTCATCACTTCCTGCCAAATAGAAGAGGAAGAAATGGAAGCAATGGCAAATTTATTTTCTTGGGCTTCAAGGTCACTGGGGATGGTAACTGCAGCCATGAAATTAAAAGATGCTTCCTCCTTAGGAAAGTATGGTAAACTTAGATAGCATATTAAAAAGCAAAGACATCACCTTTCCACGAAAGGTCCATAGAGTGAAACCTATGGTTTCCCCAGTAGTTATGTATGGCTGTGAGAGTTGGATGGTAAGGAAAGCCAAGTGCCAAAGAATTGATGCTTTCAAATTGTGGTGTTGGAGAAAACTCTTGAGATTCCCTTAGACTAGAAGTCCCCAACCTTTTGGGCACCAGGGACCGGTTCTGTGGAAAGAGTTTTTTCTGTGGACCCAAGGGTGCTGCCTGCATCCTACAGATGGGACTTTGTTTGTGCGGACCGGTTGTGGAATACCATGGCCTGGTACTGGTCCATGGACCGGGGGTTGGGGATCCCTGCCTTAGACCACAAGGAAATAAATTCAGCCAATCCTAAAGGAAATCAACCCTGACTATTCTTTTGAAAGACAGATGGTGAAGCTGAAGTGCAAATACTTTGGTCACCTAATGAGATGAGACAATTCATTGGAAAAGACCCTGATGTTGGGAAAGATTGAAGACAAAATGATAAAGAGATAGTATAGAGCGAGATGGTTAGAGTTTGTGATGCAACAAACATGAATTTGGGCTAACTCCAGGAGACAGTGGAAGAGATGGGGGGGACCTGGAATGCAATGGTCCGTAGGTCACAAAGAATTCAGACGTGACTTAGTGATTGAACAACAATAACAACAATCTGCTCTGAAAACAAAGTTCAATGGATAATTCTTTGCCATCTGTTTATATTGGAAAACAAGCCAAGTGACCTGTTGAAGATATGGTGAGAGATGAGATATAAAAGACATAGACCTGCTTCATGTCCTAGGGTTATCAAGGCCAAGGCAGCACTTTCTTTTTCAGTATTTGATCTTCCATCCATGTAATATTTCTTGAGTTCCTTACATATCTGTCACTGCTCCCTATTTTTTTAACTCATTATTGTATTTTCAATGAAGTACAGGAGAGCAGAATTCCATATTTTATCATCTTTATCCACTACCAAAGGTGTTCCTGCATTTTTTTCGTTGTGAGAAATAATTAGACCTGTTGAATTGGACACAGTTGATTCTCTGTTTCCCTGTATCAATTTGGATCATTTTCCTCCTGAAATAATGAAGAAAGCATCAAGGTTGCTAATCAATTTCACTCAATTTCAATCATCCATCCATATAAGAGCTAAGTAGCTCCACAGTCATGGGAGCCTATTTATGTTCTGAGTTTTCTGTGTATCGGTTATAATTACCCAAATTAGAAAAGAAAGTATTAATACTGCTGAGCTGAATTTAGCAATTATTGTAGGCAATGTTTAATTTTATGGAACATCTTTCCATATATTTCATTTTATTTTAAAACTTTAGAATTTGTTTTGTTTTTTGTGAGATGTGCAAATGGCATGTGGGATAAAAGTGTAGGCAACCAGCCTAGAGTGTTCCTAGTGAGGTTTCTAAATTGTAGAGTTGTATAACAATGCTAGCTTCACCCCATATGTACTCTTTGGTTGATTAGATGTGGGGAGGAGCTTTGCATGAGTTGGTGGTATGCTGAAGGGAGTTATCATTAATGCCCCCAAATTACCTATTCCTGAAATCAGGTTAACATGACTTAGCTTGGAATTTAAGAAGGCAGGAAGGAGGTTGGTGATGGAAAGCCAATATTAAGTTGGCACTGCTTTATTCTGATATGATGGATGTGTAGTGCTTAAATCAATGATTGAAAAATGGCCTATGTTTCTACCCATTGGTGTGAATGAACCTCTCATTCAGTTTTCTGATAATGAATGAGTGGGCAGGGACAGATAAGTGTGTTTGTGAAAGGAGATATAATAATAGTTTCAAGCATACAAAATGTGCTGCAGATATTACCCAGAAATCTTTGCAGCAATCTTGAATGGAAAGTCAGTATTGTTAATATATTGCACATTCGTTAGGGAAAGCTGGAGAAAAATATAACTTGCTGGTTCTGAAGATATTTTTACAGCAGAAGCAAAAAAAATGAATAGTCGTATTTATTATTTGGTAAATGAGAGAGAGAGAGATAGGGAGCCAGTTTGGTGTGGTTAAGGTGTTGACCTGGAAACCAGGAGACCGTGAGTTCTTAGGTATGAAAAAACAGCTGGATGACTTTGGACAGTCACTATCTCTCAGCCCAACAACCTCACAGGGTTGTTGTTGTGGGGGAAAGAGGAGGAAGGAGCATTTGCTGATTTGAACTGTATGTGAAAAAGGCAGAATAAAATCTTCTTTAAAAAAACAAATTTAGCTACCTACCTTCATATGTTCTCTTGATAGTGCACAAAGTGAAAAACACAAATTTACCAAAAACGTAACAACAAAAGCCATTACAAATTAAAAACAATTACAACCATGAAACATTTTCATAATTTAGTCACTTGTGTTTAAATATAATCATTTGAATGTTAAATTAGTATACTTTCTCTCTGTTGAATCGGGCATGCTTATTTTACGATGACCATCTATGCCTTCAGCACTTCATATCTATCTTTCATATTTCTATCCTTCCCAGACCCTTTTCCCATTAAGGATTAAATCCAGTTGAGTTCATTAGAATCTTCTCTTCTGAAGTCTTGTATGCAATGTTGACTCTTCTGAGCTGTTTCTCTTTGGAATATAATGAATACTTCTTTCCAAGGTGTATCTTCTTCAACCAATCCCTCTCTCTTGATAAGGATTAGCTCTAGAATAGTAGAATACCTTCTACTTTATTCTACAGTATTTTCTGTCAAATGAACATATCAGCAAGAGAAAATGTTGAATCTCTAACTCTTGGCAGAATTAGATATGACAAAAGTGTTTGTGAATTACAATGTTGTTTCAAAAAGGATAAAATTGTTGTCTTTTAAAAGTATGACAGTTATTAAAAATAAAGACAATTTTGTAATAACACCTTTACAGCATTTACATGCTGATTCCCAAACTTTGTTTCCTGTTTGAAAGTTAAAATTAGATTGAGTAAACATAAAGCAAAACCAAACAGTAAAAAAATCTTGAAATATATATTATTTTTATTAGTTTATTAATTTAATTTCTCATTTAAAAAAGGTATAACTAAAACCCAATTTATTTTGAAAGTAAATATCTTAAAATTTGCAATATTTATCATATTTTAGTTTTGCACCCAGTTTAGTTCCAGCTAAACATGCTTCAAATTTTGCATCCATTTCTTTGCTCTGAGCTTCAGTGAACAAAGTTCTCCAATCGCCCACTTCACCTGTACAAGATCAATGAAAAAAGTATTATTTATGTCGTCATCTATAAAAATTCAACAGTTTGAAGCATCTTTGGAATTTGGAATTGTGCATAATTTATATGCTTTGTAATGTATTCATACGTAATTCTACAGTACTCAGAAATAAGCCCTGTTGAATTTAATGGATATTCCAAATAGTAAAGCTTTATAGCCTAAGATACTTGAGAATAAACCAAATGAGGTGATAGGGGTAATTAAAGTCCAAAACATTTGAAGGGTGTTTGGTTGCCTCTGTGGTAGCAGGATGTATGACTATATCTGTTTATTTAAAAAATAAAATAGATTAGATCAGGTTTATATTTTACATACAATGATAAAAGTAAAAAGACATTGCTGGTCTTTTAAAGTGTTTCTGTTCCTCTATTCTGCAATGTAGCAGAACAACAAAACATTGAAATAGGGCCCTCAAAGTACTGATACAAAGCACATCATAAACCTTTGTTGTTGTTGTTGTTAATTGCGAAGTCGTGTCCGACCCATCGCGACCCCATGGACAACGTTCCTCCAGGTCTTCCTGTCCTCTACCATCTTCTGGAGTCCATTTAAATTCACACCTACTGCTTCAGTGACTCCATCCAGCCATCTCATTCTCTGTCGTCCCCTTCTTCTATTGCCCTCAATCTTTCCCAGCATTAGGCCTTCTCCAGTGAGTCCTTCCTTCTCATTAGGTGGCCAAAGTACTTGAGTTTCAACTTCAGGATCTGGCCTTCTAAAGAGCAGTCGGGGTTGATCTCTTCTAGGACTGACCGGTTTGAACGCCTTGCAGTCCAAGGGACTCGCAGGAGTCTTCTCCAGCACCATAGTTCAAAGGCCTCAATTCTTTTGCGCTCAGCCTTTCTTATGGTCCAACTTTCACAGCCATACATTGCAACTGGGAAAACCATGGCCTGGACTATACGCACTTTTGTTGGCAGGGTGATGTCTCTGCTTTTTAGTATGCTGTCTAGATTTGCCATAGCTTTCCTCCCCAGGAGCAAGCGTCTTTTAATTTCTTGGCTGCAGCCCCATCTGAGGTGATCTTTGAGCCCAGAAAAATAAAATCTGTCACTACCTCCATTTCTTCCCCATCTATTTGCCAGGAATTGAGAGGGCCGGATGCCATGATTTTGGTTTTCTTAATGTTGAGTTTCAAGCCAACTTTTGCACTCTCCTTCTTCACCCGCATCAAGAGGCTCTTTAGTTCCTCTTCACTTTCTGCCATTAGAGTGGTATCATCTGCATATCTTAGGTTGTTGATATTTCTCCCGGCAATCTTAATTCCAACGTTTGATTCATCTAGCCCTGCCTTTCTCATGATGTGCTCTGCATATAAGTTAAATAGGCAGGGCGACAGTATACAGCCTTGCCGGACTCCTTTTCCAATTTTGAACCAATCAGTGGTTCCGTGTCCAGTTCTCACTGTTGCTTCTTGACCCGCATATAAGTTTCTCAAGAGACAAATGAGATGGTCTGGTACTCCCATCTCTTTAAGAACTTGCCACAATTTGTTGTGATCCACACAATCAAAGGCTTTTGCATAGTCAATGAAGCAGAAGTAGATGTTTTTCTGGAACTCCCTAGCTTTCTCCATGATCCAGCGTATGTTGGCAATTTGATCTCTAGTTCCTCTGCCTCTTCGAAATCCTGCCTGTACTTCTGGTAGTTCTCGATCCACATACTGCTGGAGTCTAGCTTGTAGGATTTTAAGCATAACTTTACTAGCATGTGAGATGAGTGCAATGGTGCAATAGTTTGAACATTCTTTGGCATTGCCTTTCTTTGGAATTGGAATGTAAACTGACCTTTTCCAATCCTGTGGCCACTGTTGAGTTTTCCAAATTTGCTGGCAAATTGAGTGTAGCACTTTTACTGCATCGTCTTTTAAGATTTTGAATAGCTCAGCTGGAATATTGTCACCTCCACTAGCTTTGTTGTTGCTCAGATTTTCTAAGGCCCATTTCACTTCACATTCTAGGATGTCTGGAGGTTCAGTGAGTGGTTATCTGGGATGACCATCTCATTGTGGTTATCTGGGATGTTAAGCTCATTCTTGTATAGTTCTTCTGTGTAGTTTTGCCATCTCTTCTTAATCTCTTCTGCCTCTGTTAGGTCTCTGCCATTTTGGTCCTTTATCATGCCCATCTTTGCATGAAACGTTCCCTTCATATCTCCAATTTTCTTGAAGAGATCTCTGGTCCTCCCTATTCTGTTGTTTTCTTCTATTTCTTTGCACTGTTCATTTAAGAAGGCATTCTTATCTCTTCTAGCTACTCTCTGGAATTCTGCATTCAATTGGGTGTATCTTTCTCTTTCTCCCTTGCCTTTCGCTTCCCTTCTTTCCTCAGCTATTTGCAAAGCTTCCTCAGACAGCCATTTTGCTTTCTTGCATTTCTTTTTCTTTGGGATGGTTTTAGTTGCTACCTCTTGTACAATGTTGCGATCCATAGTTCTTCAGGCACTCTGTCTATCAGATCTAATTCCTTAAATCTATTTGTCACCTCTACTGTATATTCATCATGAATATGATTTAGTTCATACCTGAGTGGCCTAGTGCTTTTCCCTACTTTTTTCAATTTAAGCCTAAATTTTGCAACGAGAAGCTCATGATCTGAGCCACAGTCAGCTCCTGGTCTTGTTTTTATTGACTGTATACAGCTTCTCCATCTTTGGCTGCAGAGCACATAGTCAATCTGATTTCTATGTTGACCGTCTGGTGATGTCCATGTGTAGAGCCGTCTCTTGGGTTGTTTGAAAAGAGTGTTTGTTATGACCATTGTATTCTCTTGACAAAATTCTATTAGCCTGTGCCCTGCTTCATTTTGTACTCCAAGGCCAAACTTGCCTGTTATTCCGGTTATCTTTTGGCTTCCTACCTTAGCATTCCAATCCCCCATGATGATGAGGACATCATTTTTTGGTGTTAATTCTATAAGGTGCTGTAGGGCTTCATAAAACTGGTTAATTTCATCCTCTTCAGCACCAGTGGTTGGAGCATAGATTTGGACTATTGTGATATTGAATGGTTTGCCTTGGATTCAAATTGAGATCATTCTGTCATTTGGGGGATTGTATCCCAGTATTGCTTTTCCTATTCTTTTATTGACTATGAAGGCTACTCCATTTCTCCTGAGGGATTCTTGCCCACAGTAGTATACCTGATGGTCATCTGAGTTAAATTCACCCATTCCTGTCCATTTTAGTTCACTGATTCCTAAGATGTCGATGTTCAGTCTTGTCATCTCTTTTTTGACTACATCTAGCTTGCCTTGATTCATGGATCTTACATTCCAGGTTCCTATGGAGGAAAAATCTTTACAGCATCGGACTTTCCTTTCACCACTAGATATATCCACAGCTGAGCATCCTTTCGGCTTTGGCTCAGTCGCTTCATTCTTTCTGGCGCTACTAGTACTAGCTCTCTGCTCTTCCCCAGTAGCATATTGGACACCTTCCGACCTGAGGGGCTCATCTTCCAGCGTCATATCTTTTTGCCTTTTAGTACTGTCCATGTGGTTTTCATGGCAAAGATACTGGAGTGGTTTGCCATTTCCTTCTCCAGTGGATCACATTTTGTCAGAACCTTAGTTTTGTGTCTAATAATAATTATCTCCACTAGAGGACATGTGTGTTCTTTGAAGAAACAGCTTCTTAACAGCAGCTGTCTTGAAACCTGAAGTAAATAATACCTTTTCTGAAAATAACAGAAGCAAATTGACCCATAACTTCTGGATATTTGCTACTCATTGCTTGAAAAGTAGCATTATCTGCAACAGACTTAATCATCTCATCAGAGAGAGGGAGTTGATAAAAGTCAGCAATTTGTTTGACTCCTTCCAGAAGGTTCTGTAAAATAGTACAATCAATTATTTATAATTTATCAATTATATATAAAAGCATTTAAAATACACGTAGTCTTCATTTAATAATAATAATTGGGAGCCACAATTTGGCAAGCAATAGGGTTGTTAAGGGAGACATCACATGACTGTGACTTGGGATTTTACTGCTGGCTTCTTCATTAACTCTGTTTATTGGAAGCCAGCTGTGAACATGGAAAAAGAGATAATGTGATCATGGGACTTTGTGAAGGTTGTAAATGCTCTCCAGTTGCAAAGTGCCTAAATCTCAATCACATGATCATGGGGATGCTGTGATGGTCTTAAGTATGAGGACCAGTTGTAAAGTTACATTTTCAGCACCATAATCATGAATGTTCACTAAAAGGGACAGTTATTGAGCGTGGACTAACTGTATACTACTTTGATACCCAAGAATGGAATGAGTTAGAACAGTGTTCCTCAACACTAGCAACTGTAAAAAGCATGAATTTCAACTCGCGGTATTCCCAACCAGGCTGTAGAAAAGTACAGTACCGTATTATAGTGCATTAATGTCTTTATTAATGAGAGGAAGTAAATGATGTGCAGATGTGAAAATTATTATGTCCAAGGTTTCAGGGTTTATAGTACAAAGCTTTAATTTCTGAGGATCACATTGCCCTGTTTATATTAAATATTTACATATATTTTTCATTTTTGCAAATCCAATTATTAATATGTACTTCAATCTCATTACCATTTATAGTAATGAGTAGTAATGAATTGGAATTGCCCCTAATTGTAGAAACACCATGTATATTTTCATTTTAAAATATTTAACCCAAATAACTTTGATATCAAGTAGATTAAATAATGAAAATACAATTTATATTAATTATGAAGCTTTGCAACACAGAAAAGTCAAAGCATAGCACTGAGACCAAACAAGAACAAGACTAGATTTTTATACTGCACTAAAAGTAAGTTTGTTTGTGGCTTAAGGGGGTTGAATAATTCTAGCCATTTGTAAAGCATAGTTTATGGATTATCATATTAACCAAGAAACCATGTTTAAGCAAACGGTGGCGAAGTATTATATGTCAACCCAGCCTAGCTCATTTCCCAATCATCCTATGACACATACTGACAGGATAGAAAAATGAAAGTCTTTCCCACTTGTGCCCTGCACTCTCTTAAATCCATGTCATTGCCCTCATTGTCTCTAACCATACCTGAAGCAGCTTAAAGTTGTCCTCACTGTCCCCCTAAAGCAGTCAACAAAATATGTAGTTTTACCCTGTATAGATTCCGGCATGCTTCACCAACCATTCCATTAATGCTATAGGATCAGCCTAGCATCTATTGCCCACTTCTGGCAGATGCTGTCCTCCAGGGATATTCTATTTGGGAAAGCAAGGAAATTTGGATCTTTTAAGCTGGGTTCCCCATTTATGAGCCAATTCCTGCTCATAAATCTGGATCAGTCTGAACAGCAATCGTGGGAGCTAAAGCAGGAATGTCTGCAACTATTCATGATAATGGTGAAAAAAATGGACATGCATCAGTGGCGGGATTCAAATATATGAACAACCGGTTCTCTGTGTGGATGCTGTTTCTGGAAATCCGTTCTGGGCCTGAGCAACAAAAAATTAGCTACTCGTTCTGCCAAACTGGTGCGAACTGGCTGAATCCCACCACTGACATGCATGTATGGTGATGTCATTGTGCAAACTTCATCCTTTTGTACTTGTATCCTGACAATAGGCACAAGTTATAGGATTTGCATCAAGATATTATAATGCACTTTTTTGTCACTTGCTCCTTTCTTGCCCTTTCCCATATATGCCTATTTGCACATTTAGAAGTTGCTTGTATTGGGGAATGCTGGAGAAGGTTTCCTCCATAGCTACAGGCTACAGAAAAATGAATGTCTAATACAAATATTATTTTAATTTCTAAAAGGCTTACTTCTTTCAGTTCTTCATAAGTGATTATCATTATATTTTCTTCATCCATATATTTGTCCCAAGCAAGAGCATGGTCAAAGTAGGAATTCCACGCCACTGAAATGAAATATATACAATCTCTATTTTACCATCTAATTAAGTTCTCTACATGACAGAAGGAAAATGTACCAATCTCAGTCATATCAGTTGGATTGGAACCAGATTTATCATGGCTATTTTAATCTGATTCCTATTATAAGTAAGAGATATCGGTACAGTCCAATGTGATACAGTACTGGCCCCAGGCTGACCTGCACAGGACACATTTTTATAATATGCAAACAAAATAAACAAATCAAATGGATCTTGTGATGAAATTTAACTAAGTTTGTTCTAATTCAGTTAGTGATAAATTATTATAATCTGAATCATATCTTGTTAGGACAAGTCTGATACTACATGCAGTGATATCATTCAAAAAAGTCAATTTTTTATTGGATCAGTTTTGTGCTATGTGAAAATTCTTTTATCACATTAAGGAGAGGGTGAAAAAAGAATTTCTTATCCTCCAAAAAGTTGTGGAACAGTGTAATAATTTTATAGTAGTCAATGCAAATAACATTTTAGCTAAAAATTAATCTGAAGATTATGCTTAGTAATTCCCTTCATAAAGAGTTAGAAAGATATGGGAAATGCTTTTATTTTATTTTAAATTTCATATATTACTTCAATTTGTATGCAATTCCATTTCTAAATTCTGAGTTGCATATAAGTAATGAAGTAATAAATGAATTACAATCATTTTTTCAGATGAGGGCTTCTTTAATTGTACTTATTCAGATCACTGAGTATAAAATTTCTTGCCTTCCGATCACAGGAAGAATCAGAAAGGCAGGCCAAAATTTGGAGTCAGCTCTTTTGCTGTCACCATCTTGTTGAAGAAACAAGTGGATGTACTATATACCATAAGCCATGTCATGAATGTGGTTTCTACAATATTTATACACAAATTATCTTTGGAATGTTTTCCAAAGTAATTAAAAGTATACCTATTGCAAATATACTCATTCATAGTTTTACTTATGTAACCAGGATTGCTACAGCAGTTTGCTTCTTATATACCATATGAATTAAATAAATTACCATTTTAAAGTTGCTCATGCATATTAGTTTTACTACTGGTATTAAAATGTATAGGAAGAACTAGCTTGAAATAAGAAATATGCTAAAAACATAAATAATGGACAGCTTTTTGAAGTTCAAGTCCCAATAAAATACTTTCTTTGTATTAAAGACAAAAGGTTATGTTCTAATCTATGCAATTGCTTAGATAGGACCAGATTTAAATTTAACGGGAAATATTTTCAGGCTAAACAGAATTGTAGATGGGAGGCTTTGAGAAGATCAAAAGGAATACATATTGAGATTGTGAGGTGTGAGATTGGCCCTAGTCCTTTTATCCTTTTGTCATGGCCTAAAGAGCTGGTGGCTCTACCAGTTGGCCTTGGGCACCAATGGGGAAAGAGCATATTGGAGATGGTTGATTGAATAGTAACAACAGATCCCACCTCCCTCCCCCCTCACCTCCCCCACCCTCCTCACAGGCCCTTATATTTTAATCTTTGGTTTTAATTTATGTTTAATATAAATATTTTTTTACTGTAAGCCACCCAGAATTACCTTATGGTAAGATGGCAACCAATATATTTTATAAATAAATAAAGATAACATACCTTCACCATTCATAAACTTTTGAAAGAAATCATCCCAGGAACTGGCATTAGGAAGCAAAGGATTTTTGTTGCAAAAATGATAATAGGATGTAGCTGTATCTTTGGGATTTCGAAATACCACTAGCATCTGTTTAAGTAGATAGATGATCATTAAACGTGTCTTAAAAGAATTATAAATGGCCAGTAGATATTCGCAATGTTTATATAATGAAACTAAGACATAAATCAGAGTTGTGTTTTCTATGCCAAAATTTGCATTTGGCCTTTGAATGGTGGCATACCAAGAATCACACCCTAAACAGTTATATATGGGGCCAAGTCAAAAATATTTTATTTGAAGTTAATTGTAAACGTAGGTATCTGTAAATGTAATCAAATGTTTTTGACTTGGCTTCAATTATTTTATTACACTTCACAATATGTAGCAACATTTTAAGATATCAAAGCAATAGAGCCTTGGAGCCTCAGGCTTTTTTTGATATAAATGCAAATTCAGAGTGGGAGGTTGTTATAATATGCAAGATTACCACCCCTTTACTCCCAGTAAGATTGGAGAGGTATTTCTATACTACAAGGAAGATAGCTACATCAAGTTGCCTTAACAGGGAGATGGGCAGCATTTAAAATGAATGAATGAATGAATGAATGAGAAAGAAAGAAAGAAAGAAAGAAAGAAAGAAAGAAAGAAAGAAAGAAAGAAAGAAAGAAAGAAAGAAAGAAAGAAAGAAAGAGAAAATGGGAACAGCAATATATGGTACATATGTTGAGTGTATGTCTCAATAACATTCTTAATTGAAGAAATCTTAAGAATTTCAATTACTTTGGATAAATATTGAAGAAAAAGATATGATTATTTATATTATGGTTTAATTCATAGATCATAATAGAAGCATTGCTTTTAACCATGTTGAAACATAGGGGAACTAAATTTTTTGTGACCTTCAGAAATGTATAATATTTAGTATCTACATATTGAGACGAGACCAGGTAATTCTGTTGGACAATTGTACTTACAGTGAAATTGGTTCCCTACCTTCACTTTGTTCTCCAGAAAGGATTTTGGAATATTATCATAATGGAGATGAGTTACATAATAATGGGGAGATGGTTGTTCTTTCATTTTCTGAAATAAAACCAAAAGATGCTAAAATTCTGCTGAAGAATTTTGTGCTCAGTTGTGATTATAATTGAGGATTACCTGTTCAATTTGCTGCAAACATAACTGCATTAGCAAGTCCTCATTAGATTCTTTGTTATGTAGATGGTAATAATGACCACCCAAATCTCCTCTGTCTGTAACCCAAGTCTCCTGGCCTGCCCTCTGCTTTGGAGAGGCAGCTCAGCTTACATATTTCTTTTGCATACACAAAGCAATTCCACAAACATACCAAAACATAAAACCAGACTGGAGATTAGGCTGGTTAGTTAGAAGTACATTCTCTCAAAACCCATGGAATGGCTAAGTAAAATAACTTTGAAAAGCTTTTTAAAAAAATTTGCATCTCAGTATCTCTGTTGGATTTTCTGTTTCTTTGACCCTGATCTAGAACAGGTTCATAAATCCAAAGATTCTAACTCTATCAAAACAATGCAATAATATATATTGGAGCTGTGCTGTAGATTGTCAAATAAAAATAAAATCATCTTCAGGTCTGACTTCACTTCCTGATGATTTACATGAATGCATATATGCAGCTTTTTCTGGCTCACAACAATCTGGCATTTTCTTACACAAGAATATTTTTTCAGATCCTCAGTGTAGCTTACAACCAGGATTCTAAGGTCCAATCAGTTAAACTCAGCTCTGGTGCTGCCATATGTTGAAGTAGGAAAAATTATCCAGCTTATTTAACCACTTATATTATTCTAGGCAAAGACTGAATTCATACTGACCAGAAATTTTTCTGGGCCTCCAAATTCAAGCAATAAGTGGTGTCTTGGTAGTGGTAACTCCTTATTACTAGAAATTGCAGCTACCATTTCAGTTAGAATTTGAAATACCCAGTTGGTACCTACAAGAGAAAACAGGTAAGCTGCATTTAGATTACAGATTGCATTAACCTTATAACCACGAGCACAAACTCAAACATGTTTTCTTGAACCCAGGGAAGCCTGCCAACCACCACTGGGCCATGACTGAAAAAAGTCTAGAAAATTTAGACTTTAGCTTGTACATTTTGTGATGTGTTGGCACTGCTTGGATATAATACTTAAAAGTTGGATATAATACTTAATATTTATTCACTTTTGGTAGAAAGTAACTAGAAAGTGAATCTCCAAATTGCTGTTTCACCCAAGATCCAAGTGACAAGCAGGCAGTGATCCTGATTTACACAGCCCATACTAGCTAGAGTTCAACCAGTAGCACCAGTAGAGGCTGAGTCAGGTGCCTTCTTGGGGTTTGTAGGCATTTGTGCTCTTATAATTGCTCCATCCATGCATCCATTTTACTGTTATTCTATCTCATTGAGTCGTCAAGAGTTGGGCAGCATACAAATTTAATAAAATTATTATTGTTGTTGTTGGCTGCACTGTCAGCCAGATGTTTAGACTGGATTTGGCATTTTTATTCACCTACTGAGTGCTTCCCAAGGAGGCATCACCATCATCATCATCTCCTGGTGTTTTCAATACCTTCCTTACCTCTTTACAAAACGTCATCTTTTCTCTTTTCTTCCTTCCCTTGTCTCTTTTTCATAGGTCCTCTAAAGGTCAAAGGTGAGACAGCACCTCTGTTGATTCCTTTCTTAAGTACATGGTGCTGAATTTGGGGAAGACCTCTAAGTCACCAACTGGGATAAAATCTTCAAACAGCCTTAGTGCAAAATTGAGGTAGATTTACAGTAGATGTGTCACAGGAGGTTCTCTATAGCATCCTGACCCCACCATTTCTTCCACTTCCCAGTCCAACAGCAGCCTGAAGACGATCCACAACCATCCTTAAATCTGCCAACTTTAAAATGCTGAGAACAAAAGCAAAGAACCATTGCTTTAACTTGAGCTGCCCCAAATCTTGCTTCCCACTTCATGCAAAAGAAAAATTAAATTGTTTGCATACAGGTCTTTGTTTCAGGCCTCAGTAGTAATCCTTATGGTGTGGATCTGTCTCATTTTATGTAAGAAAATAAATCCATTGAGGGACAACTGAGAAAAATATCTCAGGAGCCAAAGGCATGGAAAGACAAAACTTCCTATAAACGCCCTAATATTTCCTTGCTTTCTGGATGTTATCTAGAATTTTGCCATCTTCAGAAGTTGTATATCATTCAGAGAGGCAGTTCCTCTTTGTTGGAATGTGGTCAATGACCAAAGTCTGAATTATTCATAGTGACAGGAACAACTGAGAGTGCTTTGGCTCCCTGTGGTGTCAGGGGCAAGGAGCAATCAAGGAGTACTCTGGGTCTGAATTCCTGCCTTTTCAACACACAAGCTTCTCAATTCAGTCTAGTCATTCATCCAGTTCCAGGAGTTAGGGCCTAAAATATACAAGCTTGTGTTATTTTTCCTTTATTTTTCCAATTTCTACACTGCCTTCTTACATATGACTCTGGGATCCAGCCAACCATATCCTCATTACAATGTCCAGCCAACAGAAAAGCTTTCTTGATATAACTACGGTAGGAATATTTGTTAAATTATTTCCTGATAAATAATATTTTTCTAAAAATTAAATTTTGCATTCAATTAGGTGAAGTTAGCTTCAAACCAAAAAACTGTTTTTAAAGGAATGGGGCCAGCCTGTCTGAAGGCATGCTTTTTTAAAAAAAACAACAACAACCCTGTATATAGATAGTCCTAACGAACAATTACAAATGAGACCAGAATTTCTGTTGCTAAGCAAGGCGATTGTTAAGCAAGATGTATCTGATTTTGCAACTATTTTTGCCAGAGTTGTTAAGTGAATCACTGTAGTTAACTATATAATGCAGCTGGTAAGCGAATCCAGCTTCCTCCATTGACTTTGCAGGTCACGAATGACAATCACATGATCCCAGAATGCTGCAATTGTAAATAAATGCAGATTGCCAAGCATCTGAACTTGATAACATGACTGTGGGGATGCTGCAACAGTCATATGCATGAGGACCAGTTGCAACTCACTTTTTTCTGTGCTATTATAACTGCGAACGGTTACTAATGAATGTTTGCAAATCAAGGACTACCTCTATGGTGGTCCTTCTTAGCCAAAAGACCCCCAAATGATCAGTTAACAGGGTAAGACATCATAGAATCTAAATTTTGAAAATGTCATCCTCAAGCATATTTACATTACTTTTGAGGGATGGACACGAAAATAAAAGTATTTTGTTTGGTTAAATTTTTTAACAGAATATAACATGCAGCTTATGCAAATTATTCATAAGAACATAAAAAGCTGAGCAGTTTCACTTGGTGCCCAGCCATTCTCCAGCCTTCCCCAAACCCATCCCTTCTAGATTTTTTAGATTGATAAATGCTACCCTCCCACCATATAGGAAAATGACAATTGAAACTTGAGGTATTTCCAGGATGTCATTTTGGGGAAGTCTATTATAATATATTGCAGATAAACTTGAGATTATTTCAGAGGCAGAAAAATGGGGGATAAACTTGAAAAAAGTGATAAAAAAGCCAAAATGTTCCTCTTGCCCTTGCGAAAGAAAGAAAGAAAGAAAGAAAGAAAGAAAGAAAGAAAGAAAGAAAGAAAGAAAGAAAGAAAGAAAGAAAGGAAGGAAGGAAGGATACTCACCACATTTGGGATAAGCGATGACCAGCATATCATCCTTTCTTGCTTCCATAGTTTCCAGTGCTTCAAAGGTTTCTGCACTACAAAGGCGATTAGGATACAAAACTTCTTTGAAAGTAAAAAAAAGCTCTTCATTCTTGTTGTCTTTATTCTCATCAAATAGCTTATTAATTTGTTGCACTAAACTGTTACTTTCTTCAGCCATTGTTTTCTCTTGCCAGCAGTCTCTGCCTTCTCATGAATCCTTTCAAAAGACAGCTCTAGTTTTTATGCAGTCAGTTTATTAGCTGGCCCCTTTCTCTTGCTCAATAAAGAAAAAATGCTGACAAAACAGTCATGAATCACTAATCTTCTCACGCTACATCCTGGTGTGTATTGATTACATAACCGCCTCTGGGAGTACAAATTACTTAATCTGTGGTAGAAGAATACAACTTTCTTCCAAGAAGAAAATAAATTGTTTGAGGAAGATTGTAATGCCAGAAGCCAAAATGAGTGCAAAGTAAACAGCCTGAAACTCTTGTCGATTGATTAAAATAAAAGGTTTCTTCCTTCTTTAATGGAAGGACTCTATGGAACTTTTTTTTTTCTGTCAACTCAATAACATGAATGTTAAAATTCTGTACCTGCTTTTGAAATTGAGTATGTAGCACAATATGAAAAACACAGCGAGTTTAGATTGATAAGAAGAAGTTGTAGAGCAGTTTGTAGCACAAACCTATACGCATTTACTTGATTGTAAATCAGTGTTCAGTGAACCTTATGCCCCTGTAATTTAGCATATTTTCCTGAATATGTATGAATTTGTGAGTGGGACCAAGCTTCATTATGTTGAGCTGAGGCAAAGGTATATCATCTCTGGAATACATTTTTAAAAACATATTATTTAGAATTACAGCTATGTATGTCAGTCTTTAGAAGGCCAGATCCTGAAGTTGAAACTCAAGTACTTTGGCCACCTAATGAGAAGGAAGGACTCACTGGAGAAGGGCCTAATGCTGGGAAAGATGGAGGGCAATAGAAGAAAGGGACAACAGAGAATGAGGTGGCTGGATGGAGTCACTGAAGCAGTAGTGTTCTGGCCCATATAGCTCTATGGCCCATATAGCTCTATGGCCCAGCTCTATGTTGGAAGGTCTGGCAGTTATTGGGTTAAATGCTAGGTATGTGGATGGGTCAGTGGGAGGAGTTCCAAAGGTCTTTGGGAGACTTCCTGGACACAAGCCACATGGGAATCTCTTTGTCTGTAAGAAGCATGGGCCATGGAAGGTCTCCCTATAAACATAAAGATGGTGTGAAGAGCAATAACACTTTCTTACCTAAAGGGATGATCTAAAAGATGAACAAAGATGTATTTCCAGCAGCACCAATCACAACGTGAACGCAAGTAATCTTTCTCATTAAAATATATTTTGTTTATTATAAGATCGTTTCTTCTGAGTTAACTATCTGACAGGATTTAAAAGAGATCACTTTAAGTTTGTGTCAGAATAAGTAGTCGCGAGCTTAAATGGACTCCAGAAGATGGTAGAGGACAGGAAGACCTGGAGGAACGTTGTCCATGGGGTCGTGATGGGTCGGACACGACTTCGCAACTAACAACAACAAATGTCAGTAATAACACCCAGCCATATAATCTTCTTTTTTTAAAAAAATCTATAAATATTGTCTCAGAATTTGCATCTATAAATGATAATTAGAGCTCCAGTTGCACATCCAGGTAGTCCTCGCTTAAAGGCTGGTCACTTAGCAACATTCAAAGTTACGGAGGAGCCCCCAAAGCTAGTTATGACCTGGTTCCAAAGTTATGGCCACTGCAGCACTCCCACAGTTGTTTGCCCTTTCTGACCACAGGGATACTGCCAGACTGCCCTCCCATCTCTATCCCATTGCCCAATCCCTGCTGGGAATCCGTGGGGGAGAAAAGGCCTATAAGAACTCAGGCAGCAGAAAGCAGGCCCAAAAGCTATGGGGACCTCTGAAGGGCAGGAAGTGAAGCATGGGGTGTCTTGGGGGTGGGGGACACCTTAGAAGGCCTGGGATAGGCAGGCCTAGGCCTATGCTAGGTCACCCTGGACATCCTACACTCATGTAGCACCCTGTGGTCTGCTTAATGAGCCATGTGATTGCTCCATGACCACACCAGGAACAGCAGGGAGTGGAGTTCATTAAACTAGGCCAGGGGTAGGCAACCTTGGCTCTTTTATGACTCGTGGACTTTTATGACTTTTTTATGACTTTTATGACTCAGGAATTCTGGGAGTTGAAGTCCACGAGTCATAAAAGAGCCAAGGTTGCCTACCCCTGAGCTAGGCCATCTCACTTAATGGTTGTCACCACTTGCAACCATAATGAACAGGCTCCTTTAAAGTCCTAAATTGAACATAATATATATACCAGCTCAATGGGGTTTCTTTCCAGGTAATTTCTTTTTAAAAAGTGGTAGCAATATAAAACTAGAATAAAACTTATTTCCAACAACAGTTGCAAACTAATGTGAGTGCTTTGTCTTATAGTTGCTAATTTGGATGATACTTCCCATTTATATTGCATCATTCAGATTAACAGTAAATGTCGTGGAGAATCAATCTTAGCCTTGACGCAAGTTTCACTCAGCCTAAGGCAGGTCAAAGAAACACTTTAATCACTGCCTAATATTCCTCAACCAGCTATTTAGAAATAGGTACTGACTGAAAAGTTACAACGTGATTACATCATCATGAAATAATAATTTCTCCTTTGTACAAGTGGAGTATGTAAGAAATATTTGGAGTAACTATGTTATCAGTATTTTATTGCTTGTTTTTATAGTTATGAAAGCAAATTAATCCTTTATAGCACCAGCCAGACAGCAAAATCAAAACACCCTTGCTGTTATTTTGACAGTGTAATTAATATATATTGACGCTGATAAAGGCCTGCATCTCAATTTTATTGAGTCTTCTCAACTGTACTGAAAAGGATCAAATGAAATAATAGCTTGTGTGTGATTTTTAAGATTGAATATAAGGGAATCTAAGCAAACAAAAATTATAAAAATAGGATGTATGCTGAACTAATGAGATGATGGTTATGAGAATAATATAAGCTGAAAAAATGTTATATACAGAGATTATTATTATTTGTATAAATATAAAAAATTCCTATACCTAATCATTTATATATTGAAAATATTAAGAATTATATTTTGGCTAAGGTTGAAGAAGGAAAATACAAATAGGAGAAGGGAAGATCAAGAAATGTATCATTAATTAATATATTAACTATGGAATTATCAAATTTAATCATTATTGACTGCTAATTATTACTGTCCTTTTTTTCTTGTTAAAATATAAACCAAAACAACATGCAGTACACCAGGCACTGGAGATTATTATAGTTAAAAACTAATAAAATATCTATTAAAAAAGTTCAACAAAAAGCACATACTTTATTTGATGTTAATTATAGTATAGGGCTATAGGCTTGTCCAATCCGAAGGAATTCTGAATGATGTACAATTCCCATTGGGATAAAAGCAAAAGACAATATACAGTCATGCAAACCAATCAACAAAATCGCCTATATAAAACCCAGGCATTAAATATCATCAGAAAAACATAATAAATAATTCCAATCACTCGAGAGGGGAAAAACAATCATTTAGACCTCAGGATCTGTTTAAATAACCAGGTTTTAATCAACTCCCTAAATGCTAAAAAGAAGGATTGAATGAACATTTGGGGAATGGGGACATAAAGAAAGCTCACTTCCTTGATCTATGGACAGATATTCACGGAAAGCGGACCCATGGATATCCAGACCCTGAACCATGAAGGCCTTTAAAAGGGACAACCAGCACACTGAATTGCACCCAAAAGCCAACGCTGCTCCTATTTTAACATTCCCCCTCCTTTGTGTTCTTAGAGAAAAAACAAGATTGAAGATAACTTTATATCTCTGTGTACTTTTCCATTTCCATTGTGCATTTATACCACTTCTTAGGAGCGAATAAGCAAGCAGATTGGTTTTGTTCCTGCATATCTGTAGAAGAGCACATGCAGTTTTTGATCTTAACAAGCATTCTTCGGGCAGTGAACTAATACCCTGTCACACCGACAGAGCAGATGAGAGATTCTTGCATATTTCATTAATATAGAGAGATGCAAGTTTGTAATGGAGAGTCATTTTGGTGTGGTGGTTAAAGCACCAGGCTAGAACCAGGAGACCATGAATTCTAGTTCCGTATTAGGGATGAAGCCAGCTTAGTGATCTTGGACCACTCATTTTCTCAGCTTAGGAAGACAAGAGCGAACTAGTTTGAGCATTTGGCAAGAGGAAATCTTGCCAAATGCTCAGACTAGTCCAGTCATCAGGAATCAAACTGACTCAAAAGCAGACAGACACACAGACATACACTCTTTCTCTCTCTCACACACACACACACATTTGTGACGAATATTTAACTGCATGACTGATGCAATAGTTTCCAATATTATTCATTTTACAGGCAAGATTTAGGTGAAAACTGAAAGCCAAGAGCATAAAACATTCTGACAAATTTTACCAACAGGACAAGGTAAATTGGAGCACTATGGCTTCAACCCTCTATAAGCTTTCTAGCACCCAGCCGATCTCCACCGTCTTCTCATCACCAGGAAGTCATTTTAAGTTTAACTGAAAAACAGTGCCTGACATTTTTCTTGAATAGAAAAAAACAAAAACTCAAAAATAAACACATGAACTTGATAATGCTTACTTTGTAGTTTAGTTGTAGATGCTTTTATTCTAAACATTCATAATCAATTGATAATTCTACCCCATAAATGGTAAATGTCAAGGAATATACTGTAATTCAGCCAGTGAATAAGTGAACTACAATCTAATTCCATTAAATTCTAGCACTTGAAGTCTTGACTTGACTTTCTACTCTTTGAAACATAGGCTCTTGAATTTTTCACACACGTTCAATAAACCTTTGAAAATATCACCTCTCCATCATTGTAGCAGTACTGAATTGGACATTTTTTTTGGCTGCAAGCTTCTTTGGGCAAAAAATGCCCAAGCCGGTACAAAATATTTTTGGACTTGGGCCTTTTTTGTAATATTCTTTGAGACTAAACACACTGCATCCCTCTGTTAATGATTTGCATTCCTGTTAAATGATAAACTAATTTCATTCCTCTGTTCTAACGGGTGGGTGGGGCTGCTTTACTACAATGGTGGAAAGGTGACATTTCCAAATATTTATTGAACATGACTATAAAAAATTCAAGAGCAAATGTGTTGAAGAGTAGAATTTAAAACAGAATGTCTTTTTCACCTTCCCAATATTAGTAAATTGGCCCATTTTGCAGAGCTTCCTTGAGATTTATTAACCATCCCAAAAGGGCAGAGAGTCAAAAAGTTGGATCTCTGAGATTGAATAGCAGCAAATCGCAGGCCTTTTCAGGCAGCTTGGATTTGCCTCAGCAAGAACTTCACATTGTGAAGAAGATGCAATTTGTTTCAGAAAATGTTTCAGGTTGCCTCAACTATCCTTCAAAGATAGTTCACTTGGGCTCAAATAGAAGCCAGAAACACTGGAAATCAGAAGGCAGTCCAAACAGGCAAAATGAAAAATATAATCACTTTTGGTGATTCTTATAAGAGAGGGTGCCATATTACTTTAAAAAACAGTTCTGTATCTGTTAAATTGATTGAAGTGAAGTTGCAAAAAATTCATAATTATGGGGGAGGGAAGATCATCCAGGGGAAAAAGCATAATAAATAGAAACAACAAGAAAGATTTATCTCAAATAGTGTTTAATCAAACCAGATCAAGTATTAGAATGGTATGCATTGTACATTTCTATAAAAAAATAAAATATAGAATAGATGAGTTCTTCCTCTCAAACGAAGGTTGCAGGTAATTTTATTTTTGTAATGAATATCCAGGAAGATTAGTAGCTCCTATAAAAGGGAAATTCAAACTAGAATGTTTATCTCTCAAATGAAATATTGAATTGTTAATTGTAATCAAGTTGCCTTGAGACAGTAATGACAAAAATCAAATTAAAATGGCAGGCATTTAACTTCAAATGCTTAAAGAGCCACATTTATCATAAAAATGTTCAATTTGTAAAATATATGTAAAGTATTATAGCAGGAAGATAACTTAACTATCAAAAAAAATCTGTTAACACTTCTTGCCAGGTCAAAAGTTTTATATATATCAATCAAGTACAAAATGATGTGCATATTTCTGTGAAGCAGACTCTATAACAACCATATAATTCAAGATCTTACTATACATAATTATTTCTGTTTATATGAATAATTGATTTATAAAAAAAGTATGTGTCAAATGAAGGCAAATATATGTGTCCCAGAATAATGTTGCAGGATCGGATCCAGTCGGTTACCGGAAGCAAAGGTTCCACGCTTTTGGACTTGTGCTGGAGCCCATTCTCAGGAAATAAAAATATAAAAATTGTTCTGTCAGGAAATGTCTCCTTAGTTCTAGGTTGCTTCTCTTCTTGATTAGTTTCCATCCATTGCTTCGTGTCCTGTCTTCAGGTGCTCTGGAGAATAGCTTGACTCTCTCTTCTTTGTGGCAACCCCTGCGATATTGGAACACTGCTATCGTGTCACCCCCTAGTCCTTCTTTTCCTTAAATTAGTCTTACCCAATTCCCGCAACCATTCTTCATATGTTTTAGCCTCCAGTCCCCTAATAATCTTCATTACTCTTCTCTGCACTCTTTCTAAAGTCTCAACATCTTTTTTACATCGTGGCAACCAAAACTGGATGCAGTATTCCAAGTGTGGCCTTACCAAGGCCTTGTAAAGTGGTATTAATACTTCACATGATCTTGATTATATCCCTCTGTTAAAATGCAACCTTTCTCAATCTCCAGGAACAAACCTCTGGTTCCGGTGACCAACTCAGATTCAATCCTGCAATCATAGCTGTAAATCTTTACTGTGGCAGCTTTGATTCTTTTTTTTAACTTTGGTACATAAACAATAAACATTACTTTGCATCTTATAGGCAAGGCCATGTTTGCCTAAATACAGATAGATTAGTTGCAGAAGCAGCAGGTGACTGCATTCAAGTTTGCATCTGCAGTAAGGAGAACAAACAAACATCATTGGCAAAATGAGTATCCCTTTTATCCTCTTCTCCTAATCTATTCCAAAAGATTAGAAAACCTTTCAAAGCAGATTTGGAAGAAGTGTAACGATTGCAGAAGGGGGAGTAAAAGGGAAAACAACATCTCACTAGACAAATAAGAGTCATAATATAATATGATGCTGCTGAAGCCCAGATAAATATCCAGTATTTTTAAACAAAGACACAATCACTTGTCAATATCAGAGCATATTACCATTGTCCCAAAGATTACATTTTACACAAAACAGCAAGTTAATGTTGGCTAGGATTATTTCTACTTCTTCATGGAATTCACTTACCTAAATGCTGCCTTTGTAAAAGGTTAACAAGAGTGATTGGGTGTTTTATCCCAGATGAGAGTGAAGATGCAGATGTGGACTGATAATGCTGAGTAGATTTCTGTCCAATAGTATTTGGAATATGATTTCTACTGTTTTGCGATGATACAAAAGGCGACATGTAAGAATTCCCACTGTTGAGCATTTTTAATGGAGATGATCTAGTAATAAAATGACCAAAAACATTATGTAGCAAGTGAAAGCAGAATACATATTTTAACTACAGTAGCAGTGTACTTGTTCCATTATTTCAAACTGAATAATTGAGAAATGTCATTATTCAAGAAATGACAAAATAAATACAATGGGAACAGTCCTGTTAGAGCAGAGTTCTCCAACCTTTCTGGGCTCGCGGCCCGGAGGGGAGAGCTTCCAAATTACTGCGTCCGTGCACGCATGCAAGCAAGGCCACGTCCACTGGCGCAGTACTAGTGGCCACTTTCATGCATGCAGCATGCGCTGGTACCGTGCGTGTGCGTGAACAGTTAAGCACCCCTGCAGTGGCTAATGCCCGTTCACGCATACGTGAATGGGTCACACACACACACACACCCATGCTAGTGGCCCACTCTGCGCTAGCGTCTGTTTGCGCCCATGTGCATAGGCAAATGGGGCCGCGGGCATGAGTGGGGGAAAATGCGTGCCCACTGGTGTGCATCCTAGTCAGCCATTTCTGTGGCCCGCTGGCCAAGACCCTGCAGCCTGGTACCGAGCTGCAACCCATAGGTTGGGGATACCTGTGTTAGAGAATATAGTGACACTAAAACTTTATTTCTTTTATGCAGTAGACTTACTGCTATAAATTCAAATAAGCCAAAAGGAAGATGCTAATAGTTGAAGGAAAGTTTCTGTTTAATTCAGTAATTATATTTAATTCAATAATTACAAAGGAAAAATATAGGTAGTAGTACTTGTTTTCATAAAACTCATTGCCTGACATTTCACAATATACTGATTCCATCAAGAAATATTAATAAACCAAAGCCAATCAAACCTTCTGCAATGGGCAGCAGAAATAAGCATTAAATACCAAATGAGAAAAGATATCCCTTTTTGAATCCCACTGCAGTTTATTTTACCTTACATATCCTGCTGGGTTTCTTTGAAATGTCATTCCAGATAACTGAGAACTTCTGCATGTAACACTACCTATAAATAATATTCCAGATTAACTTAATATATTAAATAGATTGCAAATTTCAAAAATTATTTGGAGTAAGTGCATCAGATCTCATGTTAGCACAGACCTCTCCATAATCATTAAAGGATCCCATCCTTTTTTAGGCTTCTATGTTTATGAGCTTCAATAAAGGCTTTTCAATACCAAGATGTGATCTTGCAAGACACAGGATCATAGAGTGCATATATTCATTTAATAATTGATAGTGCTGTCCAACTCAAATAGCGTGATTCTGGGCAGCATATAACAGACAAGCAAATGATAAATTAAAACTCCTTCACATAACATTAAAACATACCCAATATATAAAATATAAAATGGCGACCAAACACAATAATGAAAATACATTATTATATATATACATAATAGGCAGACCTGGGCTTATGACAGCAATTGAAATTGGAATTGTCATGGCAAAGTTACGTGGCCGTAAAGTGCAATGTCACATAATGGTGTTGCTTAGTATCAGCAGTTCCAGTAGTCCCAGATGCCATTGTTAAATGAGGACTCCACAGACCATTAAGCAAAGGACCTCACATTATCTCAAAAACTGCAATATATGACTGCAGCTCAAACTGGACACTGAATGTCTGGGTGCAGAAATCTACTTATATTTGCTTGTTAACTTCTCTATCACAATTAATGTTCTTTTTTAGGGCCAGATTCAATAACCCAGACCTAGGACTCCTATATGGGAACTTAAATGAAGTTGCTATGACTATTAAGATTTATGTTTATATTGTCAAATTATTTTACTATAACTTGAATATTTGCTTCTCCTTTTAGACTGGGACACAAATTTTATCTAACAATTTGAATAAATAATAGTGTGCACTGTTATATAATTTATTTCATTCTATTTACTCACTATTATATAATTTATTTATTCTATTTACCATATTTGTAGCTGTACTTTTTCTTTTTTAAAATCCTGATCATTAAACAAAATTAGTAATATCTACCCATCCATCCATCCTTCATTAAATGACATGGAGCAGACAGCAGAATATGAAACATATAGGAAAAAAAGAATTATTATGAAATGCTAAACCAAAATATAAGGTATATATCTTGTTCAATCTCAACAAATAAACAATATTTACTCTTACCCATATGTCCATTCTGCGGTGGACTTATCAGTGATATCCTTGTTGGGCCAGCTACTGTTTCAGTCTACATATAATTCAGAAATATTTACAATATAATAAATTAAAAACATAGAGTATTATTTATTTCATATTATTGTGTTTCCTGATTCCTTGCTACTGAATTTAGAACTTTTTAATTGTACTGCTTTTTTGAAAAAGAATTATTACTAGGTTGTATTAATTAAAAATAATTTTGGTTCGGCCTATGATAAATCTCAAGAACAGAACTGGATTTTTAACGGGCTCAACAATAAATTATTTCCTACCTCTATTATAACATCTTCTAACAAGAATCTGTAACAATCAAAATCTAAACATTCTGTATGCTACATATGTCTCCTAGTTGGTGGACTGCAGGCAACAAAATATAGAGTTGCAAGGTACGTTCACTATATTGCTAAAACATATTACTGTATGTGAAAGCGTCAATTGACACTAAAGCCTTGATAGCTGGAAGAGTTTATATCACTGGACCCATCTGATGACGTCCTTCACATATGGAAAACTACAACTTAGAAAGTATGAGGAGCAAAGGGAGGATGTGAATACGCATGCACTTTTGTATACAGACAATGAGGGAAAGACTGAAAAGGTCATGACCGGTTGGAGGAGATGAGAGCCTCAAAAACAGGCAAGATAAATTAAATAGCTTAATCTGAACTATTTTGGATGCAATAAACATGCCCATTATTCCAGAGAGATACCCAAGCAAAAGGTTATTTATCATTCTAGTCTGCTAAATAAGGATCAGTTAAATAAACTTTAATTACACCTTTTCCTCTTCTTATTTCAAGCCTCTATTTCTTTTGCTCATCCTTATAATTTTTCTGTATTTTGTACAATACTGTTTACATCCAAATAGGATAGCATGGTATATATACAGAACATACAAATATCAAAGTCTATCAGCTGAAACTTTCCCAGTTTGCAGTTAAAAACATGAAACCATTATGTGCAGGTTTCTTTCCATGAAATAATTTAACGTAGTGTAGGCAAATTTTTAAACTAAATATGAGTGAATTAACCATATATTCATTTCAATTGCAGCACTGTTACCAAATACTAGTTTTCTAGTTAAATTCAAGCAACAGACTATAGTGGTGGCGAACCTATGGCACGTGTGCTACAGGTGGCCCGCAGAGCTCTCTGCGGGCACGCGCGCCGTCGTCCCAGTCCTAGGCCTTCAGCTGGGTTTTATAAAACCTTTTCACTTTAGGCCTCCGCCATCGTGTGCAAAAAAAAAAAAGGTTCAATCAATTTCAACTTTTCTAGGGAAAAAAAGATCTCGTAAAGTTGGAATTGATTGATTGAACTTTTTAGTCCCACCCAGTCTGCCATTAGCACCACAGCCACACCCACCCAATGGGCCGCACCCACCCAATGGCACCTGACAATACATAAGTGGTTTTTGGGTTGCAGTTTGGGCACTCGGTCTTTAAAAGGTTCGCCATCACTGGACTATAGAGAGAAAGAAAATGTAAAAGCTGTCAATTTTATAATCTTATCTTATACCTCATATGTAATTTGAACAGTTCCGAGTATAAACAAAAAGTACAGCCACAATTACTATATATATTTGTGTAGAAGAGAGCAGCATGGGAAGTGCTAAACTCTCATCGTTTCCTTTTCAAATGATCAGTGATCAAAGTTCAATATATCACATCAGCATGTATACCTTTAAGAAGTAAAGACAGAAGGTATCCTAAATAACAGAGAATTTTTTCCACAAAGCTGATCTAGCATTTAAGCATAGAATGGTAACTGGAACTATTTGTATCTTGGTATATAAAGAAGGAAAAAAAAACTTACTTTCCTTACTGAAGGTGGCACTTCTACCTCCTTTGATGAAATCCGACTGATAAAAGATGTTGAATATTTAAATAATTGAATAAGGTAAAAATATTAAGTTTGTATAAAATATTTAAATTTAATTTTTTTAAAGTTTATATATTATAAATATTATATATACAAACACACACAAATTTTAAATTTCAAATAATGGAATAATTGGAGCATGGTAATATATGGCAACATGCTTTTTATTTTCATCACAATGGGTTTCAACCTCACTTTTAAAATTCATTTAGGATGAACTAGGTAATTATTTCTTTCTTTGCCACCAAGGCTACAGTTTTTCTTAAAGCAGCTTAAAGTATTAAAAACATATAAAGGCAGAAATTTATAAAAATATAATAAAATTTAAATGGTACTGCTTCCTTTAGATATATATAGCACAATGCCAAATATGATACCTGAAAAGTAAATTCCACTGAGTTTAGTGGAGTCTATTCGGATGTCCATATATGTTTTCAAGTAAACGTTACTATTCATGGAAAGTGAATTATTCTAATGGATTATGATTATTTGAAAATACAAAATATCTTTGAAACTATTCAAAATTTAATGATTATGTTCATAATTAAAATACTCACTGTTGCAATTGTTGTATATGCTGAATTTGTTGTGATGCTCTCTTAAGATACACTTCCAGTTTTGTAATCTGAATGGAATAATATATTTCAGTAATTTAAATTCTGTAATATTTCTTGTCATTTATAAAACTCAGTTGTTTAATGGTTCAACAGTTATTTAATGGAAATATTCCAGACTACGGGATCAATACACAGTCAAAATATTTTAATTGCTAGATGAGATACCAATGGCTTAGTATAATACTTTATTTGATTCATTACATTTTATTTATACATATCACACCAGAAATGTGGCTTCATCAAGCTTCAGTATTCAGTTCAACATGAATCCAAAATACCTTTTCTCTGTAATGTGTTAATAGATGTCTTCTGTGTTTTTCTTGAAACTGGGCAATCTAAGAATTAAGAAAGCACAGTAACAATTATTGGTATTGCTAAACAATGTTATAATATTTATGTGAAAGCAATACAAATGTAGCGGAAATTAAATACCTAAGTTTATATTTAACTTCCAAGCACCATACTGATGTGGGGAGTGCAGCAAACATTAACGATTCTTTTTTTCTTCAAACTTTCAGAAATGTTTCATCCTAAACTGCATGCCATGTACAAATATAATACTGTACTAACATGAATTTAATGAACTGATCACCTGTAGATAAAATGGATACTCAAAGTATGCATTATGCTAAGCTATTATGTTACTGCATAGACCACAATATTTCAAATTCATATATGCTAAGCCAGTGGTTCTCAACCTGTGGGTCGGGACCCCATTTGGGGTCGAACGACCATTTCACGGGGGTCGCCAAACAACGCAGTCCGCCATTTTTTCCCCCCTTTTCCTTAGCTGTGCTACTCCCTTTTATTCTATTGGCTTTTGAAAGCCAATAGAATAGGCTCTCTTGAATAGGTCTAATTCTATTGGCTTTCAAAAGCCAATAGGAATTGTCCAGGCTGTCTTTGCCCTGCTGAGCCCGCCAAAAGTCCCATTCTGCAAATGGTGCTGCATCAGTTGAGTAGTCCTCGACTTACGACCGGTTGAGTAGTCCTCGACTTACGACCGGTTGAGGGTCGCGGCATTAAAAAGGTTGAGAACCACTGTGCTAAGCCATAATATACTGAACAAGTTACATGTTAAGCTAAAACCACATTAAGGCTTAGTATAAAATGTGAGCTTAGTCAGAATGCAAACATTCCTAAAAACATGAAATGCCATAAAAATTTGGTGTAAGTGCTTTATTCTATGAAGAAATGAAAAACCCTCAAGGCCTCTTAAGTAATTTCTGAAGGAATGTGACTCTACACCATTTCCTCCCTCCACTCCCTTTGATGAAAACCTCTTAATCTGTAGACACATTTCAACATGAATAATAAATAATGAATCCTGACTTTTTTATTACTACAATACAATCCTTGAATGCCAAATTATGTTGATTTAGCAAGGAATTTCTCATCTTAATTTTTTTTTAAAAAAAAGTCTTTCTTCTTTTTAAGGCCATAGTACTATCTGCAAGTATGTTCAACTAATTTTCCTTACCACTGGGCACAGCTAAACCATTTTTAGTTTGGATCACCTAATTCCCTGATTTTTCTGAAAGTCTTCACTTGTGGCACTATCCATTTTTTACTGAAGAAATTCTGACTGCTGAGGGTTACTGCAGTCAGGAAATTCTTACTGTGTTACAATTTCATACTTTGTGAGATATTGTATGTTTAATAGTACAATGCAGTTTTATTACATTTAAACATTACACAGGATGGATAAAACATGCCTAAATTTCCATTTATGTCCTCATTCAATACTACACATCAAAATTACATTTTATCTTCTATTAGTATTAGTGTTACATGAAATTCATCATAACTATTTGATACAACTTAATCTTATTACAAACTAATACTAAATCTAATTTCTTGCTGGGAGTCAGTTTGGTGATGAAGATTATAATATAGCACCATGGTACCAAAACCATGCAAATTCATAATGAACTCACAAGAGAGTCACAGAATATTTTAATTTTTTTTAGAAAAACACAGATACCTGTCAGACATGCATTAAGCTCTTTGAATTCATTGTGGTATCCCAGCTTGGGAATTACAAGGTATTGTGAAAACATTATTGAGAAATTAAGGATACCATAAACCAGTAAAATTTGGGAATTTCTGATCTAGCATACAGTATTCATAATGAAAAATATTGAAAACAATTCATAAACAACTCACCTGTGTTATTTCTTTGGAATATTTTCTGCATAACCCATCTAATCCCATAAAGAGTGACTGGATATCTGAATTCACCTGTAGCCAAATTATTACACATTACCAAATAAATAATTACATACAACTCAAATATTTAAATGTTAAAAAATAAGCAACTCTGCTCAGTAATACAGATACTAATTTCTTTAGAGATATATTTATGAAGCTACTGAAAGGTTATTTATAGGTCTAGTGTGCAGCATCACACAAAAAGAAAATATTGCAAGTTCTATCATAGCACCATACTATATCCAAATTAGGGTCATGGTGCTAAAGGAGGTTACCAAAAGTGTCAGTATAAACGATAGTAAATAGTCCACTAATGTGCATATATTTATACACTTGACTATAAATCCATGATCAGAAGAATAAGTGTTTCTGGATATTTGCTTCAAGGCTACTTCCTGGGTGTCTATCCCATATAAAGTAGTTTGGCCTGAGGGAATGTGACAGGATTCAAATCATTCAATGAGCTTCTATAATTGAAAGGGGTCTTGAACTTGGGTTTCCCTATACTAGTACAACAATCATTACTGCATGTTACATTGTATTTGTTTTTGTAATGCCCATGAAAATATATATTACTTAATCATTTTGCAATTATTGAATGAACTGTAGTTATTTGTAACATTTTCTATACCTTTTTTGAAAGGACTATTGTACGACATGGAGCTCTGCAAATCATACACTCTTCTTTTTTACCTATAAAATCAACATAAATGCATGCTGTACTATGTATTATTTTACTGACAAATAAATTGTAACATCTAATAAATTACATACCATATTGTGTTATTCATAATTATGACTTGGAATTATTTTAGCTTTTTTTTTTAAAAAAGCAGCATATTCATCATGATTTTTTAAAAACATAATTGCAATACAGACATTTAGACAAGGCCTTAATACTATATATGAAAATTTCTTAATAAAATAGACGTATTTGGATTTGTCCAGACATGGGACTCTCCTAGAAATGCAAGGACTGCTTCAACTATCCCAGGGGTAGGCAGTCTTGGCTATCCCATTAGAAGGTGTGTAGCTCAAGGTTAAACTGTGGAGTTCTTGGTGCTTTCTGAGTTAGTTTGCAGATTTTTCATTACCCACTAGATAACATCAATGTGAATTGCATTATGTTATCTAGTTGGGCAATGAAACACCTGCAGACAAACAAGCTCAGAGAGCAATTGAGGACTCCTTGTGCTTCAATTAAGATAGCTTTTCTAATAAATTTTCCTATTGTTTTTGCCCATCAGTAAAAATGAACAGCATGTGCATGCTCCATGTCTCATCTTTAAACGAGTGTCATCTGATGAGACCCAAGTACTCTGTCACAATAGATCCAGTACATTGTACAACAACATAGCCTTGACTGTTTGGGTCGCTCTATCCTGCTGATCTTCAGGGCTCTGAAAACCTAGCTCATTCTCCAGGTATTGGGTTAGAAAATATATTTGTGAATATTTTATTAATACTTTGGATGATTTAATCCCCAAGTTATTGCCTTTTTTAAAAAAAAAATGTATTGGGTGTAATTTTTTACTTGTATGCCATTCAAAGTAATTTAAGATTTAGATAGCCATTTGATTTACAAATAAATATAACTTTTGATCCAACGGACAGTTTAGTAGGTCTCCTAAATTTCTGAAGCAGTGTTTCTGGGACAAAAGGAACTGTTTGAAGAATGCAGGAATTTATCCCCATCTTGCTGGTAAAATGGTGACTTGATTCACCTGTTCTGATAAGTCAGTGTAGCTTAATCAAGCAGTTTAATAAACCGAAGTTAACCAGGTTCAACGCAAGCAATCACACCACGGCTTAACACAATGTGTGAACCCAGCCAATGGGAAGAGCAGGCTCCTATGAGTATCACTTGGCTATCAGCAGGCTACCAGGCCCTGCCACCCCGGGCAGGTTACCTTTCTGGAGACACTGCCCACAGATAACATGGCCGCAGTTGGTCAGGCTGAAATTTAGAGTGGCTCCTTGGGGCTTCTGGAAACATACATTGCAGAATATCAGACAAGCCATTATCAGACCAGGTTTTATATATATATTTCCCTTCTCTTCTCTTGCTCTAGCTACAATCGGGCACCTGGGCCCCAGGAATTCACTTCTGCTGCTGCCTCTTCCGACTCATCAAGTGACCACCAACCACTGATCTGTAGGCTCAAAGACAGCGGTCTCCCAGGCTGGGGCGAGGAACTACGTAGCGAACCTGAGGGGGGGGGGAGGCCGCGTTCGTCAGTGACGCGCACGCGCTCTTTTCCTCCACCGAGTGGAAAACTGGGCGGGGAGAAACCCGGATCGAATTCCCGTTCTATTTAGCCCCTCCCCCCCCGGTCTTTTGCGAGAAAAGGTTACACGTACAATACGTAAAAATCCTTGAGTAAAATCCTTTTACTGGTCTTTTTAGTTCCGGGATCAGAATTTTACAACCTTGAACAGACTAGGGTGGCAGCTATCCATAGAATCTAATGAAAAGATGTCAGGCGCTGATTGTTTTAATGAAACAGTGTTAAATTCGGCAGCTTGATGATTCCACAGACATATTTATTTACTTTTCTGGGCAGGAGTTCCAAGTACGTGGTTGGCCAATGTTTTTTGGTGAGATGTTTTTTCAACTTCCCATTTTAATCATTAATCCACGTATTAACCAGGACGGACCCTGCTTAATTTTTCAATAACAATAGGTTAATATCAGCAAAGGAAACTCTCTTGGGCTCCTTCGCCTTGCATTAAAGAAGCTACTGAAAACTCCAAGCATTAACATGTTCCTAAAAAACAAGAACTCAAAGAGGAGCAAGTCCTGAATGTATGAATGAATAGGTGTGGGAGAGAGGACCAGAATGCGATGTGTCAAAAGTAAAAACTAAATTCGAGCTTTCTATATTGGTTTTCACAGGCGTCCCCAAATTAACGGGAAGAGAATCGTGAAAGAAAAAAAAAAAGAGTAACCTGACATACAGGAGTGAACGTGCACGAATGAGTGTGCAAATCTAACGCGCACGAGCGGCGGAAGACGCCACCGCGACCGCCACGGAGGTCCCGTCGATCTCGGATGTCGCTCTCGTTTCTGCGCCAACCAAGCGAGCAAATGAGCCAACCAGACTCGGAGCTTGCAGATCGGGGTCTGGTGTGCGCCGGGCAAGGCCGCCGCTATGGGTTGCAGGGGATCAAAGCCTTTTTCTTTGACTTGGACAACACCTTGATCGACACCGCCGCTGCAAGCAGGAGAGCCATTGCAGAGGTACTTTCCATTTGGACCTCTTCTTTCCTCACTTAAACAAGGAAAAGAAGCACATAATAGAGGTTGGAAGAGGCTGATTAACAGACACACGCGCGCGCGCGCGTTGATTTTAGCTCTTGAAAGCCCTTTAAATTCAAATTGTGGCTCCCCATCAATTCTGGTGCATCAGTAGAACAAAAGGGTAATAGTAATATACTAGGAAGTTTTCCACATGCTTTGCCATCTTTCCGAAAAGGGACTTACTGTAGTTCAAATTGCACATTGATCAGGGTCTTTTCATAGTCAAGTTATGTAACCTCCCATGCAGGGAAAATTGAACATTTTCAATAGCACCACCTAGAGAAAGCCACTTGCCATGTGTGAGCTTTAGCCCATTTTTAAAGAAAACTTCTCTTTTCTCAGATACCCAGGTAGAAGGGGAAGCTTTTTATACTATATAACAGGCCTCCAAGTGAATACTGTACCTGACTCAGAAACTTAGATAAATCTGAACCTGCTGCTTTATGGAACCTACAAACATACCTACAGCTGGTAACATTTGAAACATATTTTCTATATTTCAACCATATGTATTTTTTTAATGTAACTTTAGCAATCTTGTGGAAGAACAGTAAATCCATGATTCAAAACAGCTTGAACAACAGCTGACAGATCGATGTGTAGGGTGTGTGTGAGTTGCACCTTGAAGCACAGAGAGAGATTTGATTCTCTTTCTCTCTTCACCCCCCCTCTTCCTCCCCCTCCCTCCCATCCCAAACACAATTTTTTACACATGGGTATGTTTATGTGAAACTCAATTATGGGAGAAAATACAATTAGAATTCTAATTGTTAATTAGCTTTACTCACATTTTTCCAAAACATGTTTGCACAAATATTCTTGCGCATAGAAATATTGTATATTATTTAAAATGTTTGTATGGCTATACATTCATATAAATATACAAAACCACAAAATGTTATCTTCCTCTATTTGCTTCTTCTGTAATTTATTCATCCGTCTATAGCAGGGGTGTCAAACTGCTGGCCCACTGGCCGGATGCATCATGCCGAAACCACGCCCATCCCATTGCCCGCAATAGGGGGGCAAGTCACAATATGTCATGACACGTCACATGATGTTACGAGTTTGACACCCCTGGTCTATAGTCAAAACAATTCATAACTAAACAATCTGTCAAAAAAAATGATGAACACTGACATTTTAAATAGTATCAGCAACAGTCTTCACCTTTGACTCTACAGCAGTGCCTCCCAATTTTAGCAACTTCTAGCTGGGAATCCTATGAGCTGAATTCTACATGTGTAACAAACAGTCAAGCCTTGGGAACACTGCTCTAACTCTATTAAATTACAGTTTCCAAACTTCCTAGCCAGTATGCATATGTTGGCTAGGAATTTTGGAAGTTAGGTCCCCTGGAAGGCATCAAATTGGAGAAGTAAACTTCAGCCAATGTAACATTGTTCTGTTTTGTCTGTTTTCATAGGTAACCAAAATCTTACAGTATGAATATCACTACACTGAAAGAGAAGCTGACATGGTGTGTGATAAGTTCCAAGCCAAGCTATGCAAAGAATGCTTTGATCCATCTAAAATATCTATTACTGATCTAAGGGTCCAGCATTGGGAAGAAGCTATACAAGAGGTAAAGGGAAGAAGAGCCAATCAGAAGCTGGCTAGAGAATGTTATTTTCTTTGGAAAACCACCCGCCTGCAACATTTGACTTTTACAGAGGAAACACACAAGATCCTCAGTGACCTCAAAAAAGTTGTCCCTTTGCTTCTGCTGACAAATGGAGACACTGAGACACAAAAAGAAAAGATTGAAGCTTGTGCCTGTCAGGAATTCTTTGATGCAATTGTTGTAGGAGGAGAGCAGAAAGAAGAGAAACCATCACCATCCATTTTCTTTCACTGTTGTGAACTTCTAGGAGTTCAGCCTGAGGACTGTGTGATGATTGGAGACTCTTTAGACACAGATATCCAAGGAGGGTTGAATGCGGGTTTAAAGGCAACCATTTGGATAAATAGAACTGGAACAGTTCCCAAGGAAACATTTCCTGTTCCTCACTATACTATTTCTTCTCTTCTTGACCTCCCTGGACTTTTAGTAGAAGAACATTTTGAAATGAATCAGGTGGCAGGTAATGTATGTGACAGTCTCACCAAGTAATCTAAGAGTTTAGCCTCTTGGGTTTACAGTTAAAGGGCATTTCTATCTACGAAGTTTACATTGATTTACTTAAATTGCTCTGTTCTATCTTTTTTTAAAAAAAATTTTTTTACATTCTGTGCCATGTTGAACATATTTGAACCTGTTACATGGTGTTTGTGTTATGTCTTAGTCCTCTAACACAGAGGACTATAAATAGGTGGCCATTTTTGCTGCCCCAAACCAGAATCTTGCAAACTCACTAAATTCTCACAAGAGTCCAGCAATATCATTTTATTTGGGGGGGGGGGGATTGAGGTATCTAAGACTGTAAATTAACAACTGAAACTGAGTTGCAGCTTCTGTCTTAAAATAATACCCACTCAACCAGCTTGTGATAGTGATATCACAAATAAGTATATTTCTCGGTTACTGTTATTCAAAGAAAGCAAATGATCTGACAATTCATCATTGCATTTTTCCCCATAATGGTAAGCATATTAAAGCATGGCTAAGTGATGAGTCTCAATACTGTTGGACAGTGTTTCTCAACCTTGGCAATTTTCATATGCATGGACTTCAACTCCCAGAATTCCCCAGCTAGCAAGATGATCCAGGGTAATAGCTGAGCTGCCACATTTGAGAGTAGCTGCTGTAGGATGAAACCAGTCATGTAGTGCCTCCTGGTGGTCAGTATAACATCAAATGATTATGTTACAAATGCAAAAAATATGTAAAGATTATATTGTTAAGTATATTCAGTTCAAAAAAATCAGTGTAACTGTCTCATAGTTCAGACTGTATATTTTTTCTAAAAGTATACAACATTACTGTAATTTTAGGCATAGATTTTAGCTGCTTTTTCAGAATCAGAGCAGAATTAAACACTATACTGCAAATGTGTCTTTTTCAGTTTACTTCTTGCAAAGTAATTGCATGAGTTAATATTTGCAGATGGGAATCAATTGAGAGGATGGGAAGACATTTAAATCTGATTCTTAGCCAATGTTTTCTCTCTTGTTAAAGTCTTCCAAATCTTTTATCTTACCTGACCAATATAGTTAACTAAGATAATACACATACTCCCCTCAAAAGATGAAAAATATCACTGTTTTTTCAGATTTCATGGAAGCTGACAATCCAGTAAACTTTAATGAAGTCTATAGATTATTAGTATCTTTTGAGCAGGAGAAATTTAGACACAAAACAGAACTATAAAGTATGCAGTTGAAGAATCAAATTTGTTGTTTTTAAAAAAATCTGAGCATACATATTTGATATCTTAGCATCTAAATTCTTGTAATTCTAAAATCTTTTAAACATATATCGGTAATGATTTTAATGCCAATTCTTTTTACCAGTGTATAGTACTGATATCTCTAGTGTGTATAATTTGCCAAAGCTTTTTCATATTATTTTTTGGATATCAGGTCATTCTAAATGATTGTAATAGCTATGGCCATAGCTACTATAGCCATTTTTACTTAATCTTTTGTATACACAGGCAGAAGACTATCTAGCTGGCTCAACCTGCACATCACCCATATGTGTCAACAAATACACAAATGTACATATAGAAATATTTCAAACAGAAACATATTGGTTACAGATACTTACATAAAGAAATCCCTGCCCAATCTGTCTGTTACTCACCTTATTGCAAAGTTAGGCAACAAAATTGGGTCCTGAAGTGCCAATCACTCATCCTTTCTGCAGAGTCATTGTTTGTGGGACCAAACTGCATAAACAATTTGTGATTCACTCAAGCAGGCAGATAATCTCATCAGGAAAACTCTGAGACTCAAAAACTAAATGACACTTCAGCAAGATGTTAGAAAAAGATACAACAACCTGATGTGGCCTTTTAACAATATCTAAATACTCCATTTTCCCAGCCGAACAGTAAAGCTGGACCTGCCACTTGTCCAGAAAACTCAAAAGAGCAATAGAGATCTGTTTTTGTTATATAGGATGACCTAGCCCTAGGTGCTACTGGATCTATAGGCAGCAAGATCAGTCAATGAGCAGACTTGTGGAAAATGATTGATTTCTCCAATTCTGATGTCCTAATCCCACAGGTTAGTGGGTTTTATTTTTATGTTATTTAAAAGAAAGTTTAATGCTATGTTGAAAACTAAAAACTCAGAGCAGTTTATGATCAAGCAATTATAAGCCACAATAAAACTTCAGATTATTCTATTCCAAAAAGCCTTTGGTAGAGTTGTTGCACAGAAAAAGTCCAAGGAATCAAGTGCAATACAACCACTCCTTGCTTAGCAATTACCTCGGATGGTGACCATTTACAAATACAAGGATAAAAAATTCATTTTCAGAACAATGTGTGCATGTAGGACCAATTGTTGTGTGCCTGACTACAAAAGCCTTCTGTGTGAAACTGATTAAGGTTTGGTCAGTTTCCACAGCAGCAGGAGCCAGCTGGAAATTTTAATCAACTGATTCAAGTCATAGGGATGAGCTTGTTAACTTGCACTTTTTAGGGACATTTTGTGCTGCTGAGAAAAGCAGCTCAGGAAGAGATTACTTGTATAAGCAATCTCTCTGCCCCATGAGGGGGCAAAAAGGAAAAAGTGGGTCAGGCACAGTATACTATATAGAACTTTATCTGAATGAGATGGTAGTAACCAGTGATGTTCACTTAGTGACCATTTTGCTGGAACCATTTGCAGTCACTAAACAAGGAGAGGCTTGTATTCTACATACCTCTTCCTGTGAGAAGATGTGGAAAATTTCTTTCCCTAACCAGCTGCTCTTTCTCTGCTTGTGCCTACTTTTAACAGAGGCATTAACTTTTATGCCTAGTAAGAAATACATTTTCTTAACTTCATCAGCATTGCTCCCAAGAAAGTATTAAGGCTATAGTTCAGCTTGCATTCTCTGGATCACAGATGTCAAACTCAATCCCTTCACGTGATATATTATGACATTTCACAACATTTTTTGTCTTTGTGGAGCTGGGGTGGGCGTGGCCTATGCATGACGCAACTGGCCTGTGGCTGCCAGTTTGACACTTCTGCTCTGGACTTTCGCTGGCAACATAATGTAACTCTGCCCAACTGTTCTTGCAATATGCTAGATTTTGTATGATAAAACTGATGAAATGTGGTTGCTTCTTACCTGAAAAATCTAGGGATCTGTATGCATGGAAGGCTGTTGTGTCTTTCTGTGTAGATTGGTCTTAACTTCAAAGTTATTCATCATCTAGCATGATACAGCAGATAATAGAACCCCTTGGGCAGTAGTAGCTATGCTAATATTTAAAATACTAATTTTTAAAACTAGCAATTCATTTTTAGCACTGAGATTCTGATCCACAGTAATATTAGAGATACAAGTTTAAACCTAAAAATGCAAAAAAACCAAATTCCTTTTAATATATTTTGCAATTGATCAATGTGTGGATAACACAGAATACTCTAAAATTGTCTGGATCTAAACCAAGCAAGCATATAGACTGCAGGGGGAAAAAATGGGAATAGGAACTTGGTACAGTAAATTCATTCTTAATGCATATGCCAAAATTAATCCAACTATGTTAGGTACAGATTATTTACATAATATTGTATTTCAGTGGTATACAGCTACAACTACAGCTATTTTACAATTCTTATGTACTTCTTTTCAAGCTTTGGGATTCTTGGAAAGAGATGAAAATGAAGGGGGAAAGAACTGAACATAGCTGGACCTCTGTAACTATTGCTGAAATTCTAGATGATTGCTAGACGATATCAAGATTTTTTTTTAACTTGCCTGTTTAGCTGTAGTTGTCTGCATAGGGCTATGTGATGAAATATGCACTGCCCCACTGCAACCCTAAATCTAGACCTTACATATTTGTATGCAATGTCACAACCCACAAGTATGGTAGAATAGAGCTTGCATTGTGACAAAGCATATTTATTTATTTATTTTATTTTTAAAATTTATAAGCCGCCCCACTCCCGGAGGACTCTGGGCAGCTAACAATAAAAACACATAAAACATAACAAAACAAACAGTACAAGAACAATCATCCAGGGGTCAGATTTTATAAACCCCAGGCCTGCCAGAAAAGCCAGGTCTTAAGCAGCTTACGGAAAACCAACAGGGTGGGAGCGGTCCTAATCTCCGGGGGGAGCTGGTTCGAAGACGTGGGCGCCATCACAGAGAAAGCCTTCCTCCGCGGCCCCACCAAATGGCACTGCTTGGCCGACGGGACCTGAAGGAGGCCCAGCCTGTGGGATCTAACCGGACGAAGGGAACTATGAGGTAGTAGGCGGTCTCGCAAATAGCCTGGCCCTGAGCCATATAGGGCTTTAAAGGTAATAACCAACATCTTGAATTGGACCTGGAGACCAATAGGCAACCAGTGCAGCTCATGGAGGATAGGTGTAACGTGGGTGTATCGAGGAGTACCCACTATCACTCGCGTGGCTGCATTCTGGACCAACTGTAGTCTCCGAATACTTTTCAAGGGTAGCCCCATGTAGAGCTATTTAGAAATAGATGCCTGCGAGTCTAGCCTATTGCTTGATACTGTCTGAGGATCCCCATCCAGTATTAACAAGACCCAACCCTACTTAGCTTCCCAGCCTATTTCAGTCAGGTGTTGCTACCTGCTGAAATTCATACTCTTTATCAGTGCTTAAAACACAGGTGTCAAACTCGATCGTGTCATGTGAGGTATCGTGACGTTTTCTGCCTTTGTGGAGCCTGGATGGGCGTGGCCTGTGCGTCATGCATCTGGCCCACGGGCCATCAGTTTGACACCCCTGGTTTAAAATATATTAAAATGAATATTTCTATTTTTGTGTTGTTCATTGTTTTTAGTTAAGGAATCAAAACAAGAACTAAAAGTTAATTGACTAATAAATTGGATCCCTAATCCCTGATTTATCTTTCAGCTAATATCTTCCAATGTATTTGGTTTAAGTCTCAGTTTGTTTGCTCTCATCCTGTCTGTAATTGACATCTGATGTTAATTTAGATTCCTTGGATTTTAATTGGAAAATGAGATAAAGTTGAATATTATAGTTCTAATTTTCATTCTTTTCTAATATTAAAATTGCCTCATTTATTTTTGTCTTGCTTTGCTGGTGGTTTTGGCATTGCCTTTAATACTTTTCAATAAAATTTCTGGGTATCCTCAAAAAGTGTCCAATACATCTGTCCTTGCCCTCTAGATAAGAAACAACTAATCCTAAGAATAAGAATCTTACAGCTCTCTTTAAAAGTATTTATCAGAAGAAAGATTACAATTACAGCAGAAGAATTTCAGCACATATTCTGCTTTTCAATAAGAAACCTAAAGGTATGGCAGCAAAACTGTCCACTTTGGGGGGCGGGGGGTGCCTGTTTTGTGAAGGTGGAAAAGTCCTCATCTGTTCATTATTTTTATAATTTGTTATACATTTTTTATACATTATAAGTTTTTATAATGTTCTTTTTTGACCATATGAGAAAGGCAAGTTACAAACTATTGGAAGGGGAAAGAAGGTGCAGAAAATCACTAACTAGAATTTGAAAATAAACACGTTCCGTGTTGATTCATAAATTATTCTGATATTCTCAAATTATTAATTTTTCATTGGTAATCCATAAATATGGATTTAGCTATGAAGCCTATTTCTTATATTCATTGCAATGGACAGCAGATGGCGCATACACGTTTCCCTATACTTATGTTTAATTCCAGTGGAAAGGGAGTTGCTGGTTATGTGTTCAGGAGCTGTAAGGAAGTACAATTGGAAACAATAACCAGGAGACAAACTGTAGGGCAGGGGTCCCCAACCTTGGCAACTTTAAAACCTGTGGACTTTAACTCCCAGAATTCCCCAGCCAGCATTTGGATTACAAACTTGTCCCACAAAGCTTCATCTTATTACTGCTGCTTGGATGAGTTTTGAGTTGTTGTGGCCGAGCACAGGCCCCATTCTTCCAACTTGCTCTGAATTTTTGCCCAACTTGTGTCCAGCTTCTTGGCAGGAACTGTGTTTATTAGGATTCTAGTTAATGACTCTTTGTACAATAAGATTGTTCCAAAGACCTCGAAATAATCAAGCCCAATTTCTCTTGGACTTGGATCATCTGCTCAGATGGCTCTTTGGTTATGCTGGCTGACGACTGTAGAAGACTTGTTATTTTCCCAAGGATCTCAGAAGTTCTTCATATCGTGAGCCTCAGCAACTCTTTGACTTTCCAGCTGGGCTTTGGGACAATGAATTAAGTGAATCTTTTCTCATCTCATAAGAATAGTGTTATGTCCTGGACCAGCAGGCATAGGCTGCAGCAATTAGCCCAGGCAGACCATGTGGATGCCCGGGACAAGAAAGGCTGCTCCCAGCCTTGCATGCACACGCACAGCGGGAAAGATCCTTTGCAATGGTTGGCCAGCAAGGTATTGTGCAGCGGGGCTATAAAAGGAGGCTGCACCATTTTAAAACCTGTTCTGTTGGTGTTTGCAATAAAGGAGAACTGTTGGAACTTGTTGCTTCATCTCAATGCCTCTTTTCCGGAAACAGAACATTGGCGACGAGGATGGGATGCCTGCAAGGCAAACAGATTAAGAAGCCAAGCTGACTCACCACAGGGGGGCTTGCAGCTCAGAGAAGTGTGGCTCCTGGAGATTGACTCAGCCTGCCAGCACTGAGACGCTGGAGGTGAGCTCAGAAAGGGGGGGCCCTTCTCAATCCTTGCAGCAGGAGATGTGGACCAAGTTCCTGGGCTGAAACGATGGCAAAGATAGGCCGGCTTTCAGAATTTGACACAGCTCACCCAGAACGTTGGAGCTCGTACGTGGCCTGGGTGGAGAACTACCTCTGGGTGAATCAAATTCATGAAGATGACCTCAAAGTTGCCACACTACTGTGTGTGTGTGGGCAAGAGACCTTCGAGATTGTGTAAAATCTGGTCACCCCAGCACCACTGGAATCAATCACATAGTATTGAAGAGGATGCTTCGAGAGCATTTTGAACCCAAGCTCTCAATGATTGCCTGGCGACACGCATTCGAGCAGAGGGACCAGAGGCTTGGTGAGTCTGCAGCAGAGTTTGTTGCGGCCTTGTGACAAGCAGCTAGGCCCTGCGAATTCAAAGACTTGGAGGAGAGACTGAGAGATCGGCTGGTCTGTGGCCTGCGAAGCCGGGAGTTGCAGCAGAAGCTCTTCGCGAAGGAAGGCCTCACGTTCCATGATGCCCTGAAGGAAGTTTCAGCTGAAGAAGCAGCAGGCGGAGCTGTGAAAGCCTTGCAGCTTGCCAAGCCCCCTCAAGTTCCAGCCACCGCCCATCAAGAGGTTGCTCACGAAGAATCCGAACAGGATCCAGAATTGGAAGTGGACCGGCTGCATCAGACTCCAGGGAGAAGGCCTCATGGAGGGAAGGCCCAGGCAGCATCATACCCTCGGTGCATTGGGTGTGGAGGCCGCCATCGCCGCGCAGACTGCCATTTTTGCTCTACCATCTGCAGGGCCTGTGGGAGGCAAGGCCACATTGCTTCCGTCTGTTTGGGTCGCCAGAAGGAACGTTACCCAGAAGAATTGCCTTAGAAAGGTACCAGGGTCCCCAGCCAGAGCAGGGTGGGCTTCTGCGTGTCACATAGGAGCTTTTTTAGAACGTGGGTCCACAGGCCACTTAGGAAGAAGCTTCACATTGACGTGAAGTTGCAAGGGATCCCCTTGTCGATGGAGCTGGACACTGAGTCTGCTCTATCGATCATCTCCCTAACAAGGTCTGCAGCAGAAGCGGCCTACAGGTGAAACTCAGGCCATCAAACCTCATCCTCACAGATTTCCAAAATTCCAGAATCAACGTGAGGGGGGAGGCCAAACTCAAGGTGCAGTGTAGGAATTTTGAGGGGCTACTGGATGTAGTTGTGGTTGGGGGAGACCATACGAGTCTCATTGGACTCGACTAGTTTGAGGCCCTGGGAATTCAGGTGACTGGAATACACAGCGTGCAAACAACAGGCCTGGCTGGGGTCTGCAGGGAGTTTGCAGATGTGTTTAGTCCAGAACTTGGCTCCTACAAAGGTCCTCCTATTTCTCTGAAGCTAGACCCAGCCATAGCCCCCATTAGAATCAAGCCACGCAGGGTGCCCTTTGCCTTAAAGGGTAAAATAGATGCAGAGCTGGATAAACTGATTCAGCAGGGTATCTTAGAGCCTGTGGACAGTAGTCCATGGGAAATGCCCATAGTTATGCCACTGAAGGCCAATGGTGAAGTCTGAATCTGTGCGGACTACAAGTGCACGCTTAACAAAGCGCTGCAGCGGCATTCGTACCCAATACCAGTGGTCAGTCACATTCTAGCCTCCCTCAAGGGGGGCCAGATCTTTGCTAAGCTTGACCTGGCTCAGGCCTATCAACAGTTGCCAGTTGATGAGGCAACGGCTGAGGCCCAAACTGTAGTGACTCACGGGGGCATTCAAGATAAAAAAGATTGCAATTTGAAGTAAATGTGGCCCCTGGCATCTTCCAGAGTGTAATGGAGTGAACGCTCTGAAATATCCCTGGTGTTTGCCCGTACTTTGAGGAGGTCCTCATTGCTGGGGACTCAGCTGATAATTTAGCTGAAAGGCTGAGAGCCAGTTTGCTACATTTCTGCCAAGCGGGGCTGAAGCTTAAGCAAGAGAAGTGCAAGATCGGGGTTACCTCCATGGAGTTTCTAGGATTCCGCATTGATGCTCAGGGCATCCACCCTGCTGAATCCAAGCTGCAAGCAATTCAGCAGCCCCAAGTCCCAAATCCAAGGGTGAACTTCAGGCCTTTCTGGGACTACTAAATTTTTACCACTCATTCCTTCCTTACAAGGCTGCAGAGGCTGAGCCGTTACACCGGCTCTTGGACAAACAGGCCCCTTGGCAGTGGACACAAGCACATGAAAAGAGCTTCAAAGAGGTCAAGGCCTTGCTCTTTTCAAATGCGGTCCTCGCGCATTTCAATGATGCCAG